GAACAGACTGTGAGTACTTACTGTCACTGGGGGTGCCTTGCTCTAATAAAAACTGTTGTCCTTCACTCCATTGCCTCTCCAGGAGCTGTTCTATGCTGGCTGCTACTGGGGGCAAATTTTCCCCACAACTGTTCCCTGATTGATCATAGCGAATCTGCAAGCTGCTCACAGGGGATCTGTTGAAAATATTGCAATTTATTGTTTAAAGAAAAGCATGAGAGGAAATGTATTAAGAAAAGACTGCTGGAATTTCTTATATCAGCCCTTGGCACCTACATATCTTATGCTTCCAAGGCTGAGTTAATTCATCAAAATCACCAAGAACTCCTGGTTCTTACTGCCAAGGCCTTAATAAAAGAAAGACATATTATTACATTGTGAGAATCTATACTGAGGAAGCACAAAACCTCTTCTTGCATACACACTAACATGATACTAACTGACAAACACCATTGAATTAAATTACACAACACACACTTCTACAGCAGGAAACAACTGTATATGGATACATAGGACACTTGTCTTGAGAGGGAGAGTGGGGGGCAGGAACCAACCAACCAACACCAAACTTCAAACCTTTCCCAGAGAAAACTGGAAAATAAAACCAATTTATTAAAATCAGCACACAGAAAGGCCATACATAACTCCACTGCCTAACTTGTTCTAAAAACAATCATGTAAACCCAGATTTTTGAGGGACTATGTGAAAGTATTATTTCATAAGGGACGCAATGGAAGTTAAAGTTATCCTGTCTGTCCTGTGCACACGTAATACACCTCCTCTTTCACTCATGATCACACATAGTTCAAAGAATAATCCCCTTGCCACATGTCTTTTCTCATTCAGGAGAAAATGAAATATTCAGCACACAACCCCTGAGAAGGCTGGGTACCTCTCAGGCTCTACGAGAAATCTTCTTTTGCATTGGATGGGCCAAAATTGAACTCGTGAGCAAACCCAGATGCTCAGTGTATTTCTGACTCAGGCTTCTGGTCCCATGTATGCATGATCCCATTCCTCACACAGGACCAACACCCACGAAAATTTGGTTGTTGGTTTTGTTGTTGGTTGTTCAGGTTTGGTTTTTTTAAACCGATTCTGATGAGCTCAGATTTAGATTCTCATCTATTAGTTATTACTATAAGCAATTGGTGCCCTCGTGGGATCACAGTCACACTGTTCCACAGGCAGTACAAACTTACCAACAAGACCACCACAGTCCCAGTACGGGACAACATACAGTGCTCAGGAAATCAGTGTGTTAATTATGATTACGGTAATAAGCAGTGGTCACAGCACATTAGCTACCTAATGACTGTCAAGCATTTTGTAGGCACCGGAGCAAAGCGATTTTTACGAGAAAAGGTTTTAAGTAGGTGACTTAAGAGCTCTGTAAGTATTTATAAATAATTCCTCTTTTGCATACAGGATGAAAGAAAAGCACTTGTTAAAACAAAAAGCCCTGATGAATGGGTAACCAAGGTAGTGGTTTTTGACAAGAGATGACAACTCGACAGCATTTAACAGTTCAGCACAGACATGGCAAAAACAGCCTTAAAACTTGCTGCTTACAAGAGGTGCTGAAGCAATAACCAGGAAGGTTTATATAGAAACATTTTAAACAGAGGTACTACACTCCACACAAACCACCCACTTAAAAAAAAAAAAAAAAAAAAAAAAGAAACAAAACAAAGTCAAAACCAGAAAGCAAATACAGAAAACCACCAAACAACTACCCCACTAACTTCTTTCTCTGTCCACATGCTAGTGAAGGGCTCACAATGCTGTCCTGAGAGATTGTGTTATTTGAATTAAAAATCACTAACAAAATTCCTGTTAGGCTTTGGACCATTTTCTATCAACTTCAAAAAGGTACAAACAAAGCAACACATGACCGTATAACCTCTGCAATCCTTCTCTGTAAGGCTGTACAGGAGGAGAATAAAAAACTAAAATCTAGATTTCCATGTGTTGCAACATTAGTCAATCCATCGTCTTCCAACTGAATCCCAACCTCATCCATTAGACATGATATGGTTCCTGCACACTAGGGCTGAATCCTTATTTCAAATAGTATTTGATCATAGTTTCCAACAGGATTATAAATGTGCTGCCTGCACTGGTCCAATGCCATCACAGAGATGGGAAATCCCATGTTTCATACCTTGCTTGCTTTCACAACTGTTTTCTGTTTAAGTTTGGAGTACAGTTACTCATACTATTAGAGCATTAATTATAAGCAATACTGCATTATATATAGACACACGTACAAATTTCAGTGCAGGTATTGCATAACACATTTTTAAACCTAAGGTTAAGTACGGGGTAAAAAAAAAGTTTAAGTGCTACCTTGGGAAAAGCAGCAATTCTTTGCAAAATGGAAACAGCTCATATTTACCAGGAATATTTATATTTCTCATATATATATTGCAAGTTTAAAAATGACAGCTTAAACATCAAACGCTGTGGTTATATTGGGGTACAAAGATATAACAATGTGAATTGGAAATGACCATACAAGTCATGAGTCACATATGTCTTCTCCGAAGAGCTGCGATCGACTGCGTCACCAACGGCAAACAACTGTTTCTGCAAGTGTTTTTATTTTAAGCAACTCTCTGAAAATCACATGGCTCTTTCAGAGATGTGTGTTATTTATGTATCTCATAAGCTTCAAAGGGAACAGAGTCAGAACTTGCAGCAAAATAATTTTAATAGATAAAGCAGGTAACATTCAGAGCTGCAAAGTTTCCAGATCACAGATTTTTGAAGTCAGCTTTTTAGTCACTAAAAAAACATATTTGAAGGAATCAGAGTTACTTATTTATTGCAGTGGGGAGGGTGGGGAGTTACCTATGCATTTTAGAAATGTTGGCATGCATGTAATCTGTTTTATCACACAAACCAGGGGAGAAATTTGCTGACTACCGAACTTCATTGAACGAGTAGGTTTTCTAAATTTTTTCCATGCTAGGTATTTCAGATTAGGTTTTTCCAGCTTTCAATTCTCTAACTACAGCAGTGATTTCTCCCCCTTCCTCTGCCTCACCCCACCGCCCTCCCCCCCCTCTTTTTTGGCTTGTTTTTGAACAACCCTACTGCCAAGCAAAATCTCTCAGACTTTGTGAAGTGCTGCAGCTTCCACATGCTGCAGGAAGCCTTGCAATTGTGGACTGAGGTGGCCTTGTATCATCCACTTCTCCTTTACCATCCCCATCGAAACCAGCTGGAATTTTTACCATACTGCAAGGACTGGACTGTACACACCCTGAATATACACTCCATAGAAGCATCATATTTAACAAGCTTAGCTTCCCAAATATTCTGCCACAAGACAGACAGAACACAGCCACGACCTATGCAAAGACCAGGCCTTGGCATTAACTGAAAAAGCATTAAAACCTGCAATTACCACAACATGTAGGCATAAGAGGACTCTTAATAGACAATCAAAAGTTCTGGAATTTCCTAATTGTTGAGTGATTCCCTTTGCAAAATTGTCTGAACTTACTTGTCTGTATATATTAATTTATATGCTAATTTAAGTCTATGTATTTATACTGAGAACACAGTCTAAACTAATTTGTAAATTCTCTGTTTATTATTTTAGAGGCAATGCATATTGGAAAGCTTAAAAAGCAAGTAAATGACTAGGTAATAACACCTAAGTATTATAATGGATAATCTCACCCCATCCAGAAAGATGTCTTTTGATTAATTAAGGAATATAATACAAGATCAACAACACCAGGCATGCACATTAAATTATCTAATTTGGAGATATTTGTTATAAATTACCATAATAAACACATGCTATAACAATAAATGCATTATTACAATGCTGTTTCTGTGTAACAACCATTTTTTACCTATCCTAATATCCTTTTCAGAATAAAATTCCCATGGTTAGTCCCTAAGTAAAAAAAAAAAACCACAGTAGTAACACTATAAAATCTAATTAATTTGGGAGCCAGTATGGAAAACAAAGCCCTTTAAAAACAAAGATTCACTTAAAACATACTGAAAACATTACTGAAATATTTAAAACATGATATTGAAATTTTTAACAGCAGTATTTTAAAACAAAATAATGTTATACAGTTCCAGCATAATTCTTATCTCAAACTTTTCTAGTAGATGCGAATTGCAGCAGAACAAAAAAAAAAAGGACTTTTTTTTCTACAGAGAATTGTTGCTTATTTTGAAGTGGTGAGGGAAAGGGAAGAAAGTATTTGTTTGAAATTTTCGTTTATTCCTGTGATCATTGGTAAGTCAATGGGATTTTGGAATTCTTGCAAATATGGCTAAAATATGATTGTGGTAACAAATCTGAGGAGATAAGTAGTACATGTGGGTTAAATGATAGATTAATCCCTCCTAAAGCAAGTCTCCATTTCTTAAGCAAGGGAGCAAACTTACTTACAAACCTTCATTTGCAAACCTAATTTCAGCTGATACAAAAGTAAATTTCAGCACAATTTTAGATATCTGGACATAACAGGGCTTTTGGTTATATGAATTTATCCATATAAAAATAGATCTGTGTCTGTATATATACAGAAATATATATAGGCTTTTAAAACACTTAGGTATTAGGAGTAAAAAGACAGTGAAGTTTCCAAATCTGAAAACATTTCCTCTGCCTGCACTCTCGGATGGAAATAATGCTTACCGTGGTGAGAGGCTTCCTCGGGGTGATCCTCCTCTGCCAACAAGGCTTCGGCTATTATCTCCCAGATCTTGATCTGCAGTGTAAATATTTCACAGCTGATAAATCGCCTTTCCTTAGATAAGAGCTTTAATAGCTGATGTAGATATTTAAAAAATACCTTGAATCTCAACTTCTCTCTGCAGTTACCGCCGAAGAGCGAATAAGTCACTAGTTTAAGATTGCTGAACTGTAGCATGTAAGGTGTTGTCCTTACACATTTCTGAGGCTGTACCAGGCCATGGATTATGTTCCCTTCTTTCATTCCTTTCAGTTTTACAGCACAGAAGCGTGGTTTGCATTTGCAGTACCCTCCCCTCAGCCACTTTTAATTTGTACGGTGAAAGTAATGAATCACAGCTGTGGACAGCTAATCTGTATGCTTATCACAGCAAATCCTGATGCTCTGTGTTTTTTTAACACTTTGCATCCCAAAACAACTCATAAAACATATGACGCATTAAACTTAGCACCGCGGGCTAACAGGAGCACAATTATCCTGCAAATTTACTGAAAACTTTACGAAAGCATATAATTCACTAATTCCTATTTATAAGCAGGAGCGTAGCAAAGTCCCTGGCTAAAAAGGTAGTAAAACAAACAAAAAAGGCCTCATTAAATATACGAAAACGTTTTGCTTGGAAGGACTCAAAAGGGTTATTTTCCCTATGGCCTCTCAATAAAATAACCCGATCTGCCCCTTCAAGGTTGCCCTCCCCCTATTCTGAGCCAAGCGACCTCCGACCTCTCGGAGGGCAAAGACATGACTGATCCATTCTTGGTAAACTGCTAAACTCGTTCCCTTCCCCCAAACAGGCATGACTACCACGACATGTCAACAAATCCTCGCGGGGATGAGACAAAGCCAAGCTCGTCAGGGCACAGCGAGCTCGGGGCCACTGCAGCCCGAAATATCGGCCAGTTCTCCAACGGGATCTCTCTCACACCAACTCGTGTGGAATGCAATTTCATGAATTATGCTAATAAAGGTTTCCACTATTCGCGACAAAACCCAGAGCTGTGTTTCTCCCGCTGCAAAGAGCTGGGGACGGAGCGCATCAATCACTGGAGGCACTGGGGACACTGGTGCAGTCCTGCCTGCTGAAGGCTCTGCTCAAACATTTACATTGCACACACCGAGGGGAAAAAAGGGGGATGCAAACCCGCCCCGCTCCGCAGAACAACCGAGGATTTACTTGGCAACACAGAACAACTTTGTACAGACGTTTAATAACCCAATGCCGAGCAGAGCTCAAAAATAAAATTTTACAATCTTTTTAAAAACGCTGAGGTCTGCGAAGCTGCACGTTTGCAGCAGCAGCTAAAGCTTACCTGCTTGGCTGTTCTCAGACTGAGCCATGAGCGCTGCCATGGCTGAACTGGGATTCAGCCTATTGCCGTACATGTGGGATGGAGGCAGACTGAGAGAAGATCCAGGTAGGGTGTTTGCCTGCAAGAAACCAATTAAAAATTGAATCTTTTTTTTTTTAAAGGGGAGAAACGCTAAATGTCTTTTAAAGAAGCCTTCCTAATGCACAATCATCGTTTTCGTAAGAATGTTTTTTTAAAAACAATGTATTTAAAACGATGTATCTAAAAGCAAAATTATTTTCTGTTTGTGAGCGTAGAAATAGAATTGAAGTACTCTGAAAACAGGTTTGAAAGTGTGCTGCACTTGTCGTTGGCAAGCTCTGTTAATTAGAAGAAAAACCTTTCTAATAAAAAAAATTACTGTAGCAAATAATAAAAATACCTAAAGTGCATTTTCAAAGCACCCTGGTGCAGCAGGACGGGCAGAATTCCCTGCGATCCTCAAGTATGTGCTCATTGCTAGGACTGAGGAGCATGGCGACCATGTGGTTATCCTCCTAATTATTTAATCTTATTAAACCATTTACAAAATAAGGGCAGGTAGACAACAGATGTCTCACAAATGCTTGGGTTCCTTACATCACGAGCCGGCTGTGGGGGTCAAAAGGGCCAACTTTCAGCTCTAGAGTTTAACTACACAGAGCCATATTTCCTCCGCTCCGCTCCGTCATTAGTAAAACCTGCACACTATTTTGTTACTTCCTATTTTGATAGACTTGGAAGCCTGGTGTTTTTTTGTTTTGTTTTGTTTTTAGTTTAAAGCACGCAAACAGCCATTACAAGTATGTTTTCTATACAATAGGGGGCTCGGGGAATCACAGCTTTGCCCTGACCCCATATAAGGAACTGTATTTTTGGCAGTTGGCCAGCTCTACTTATTGAAGAGCTCCCAAAGTTTGTGTTCATTCATGTTGCTAACCACAATTCTGAAGGTCTCTGCTGGGACTTGTGCCAAACAAGCGAAAATGAACCCTTAAACAGATGAAGCTAAGGAGGCTGGCCAAAATCTTGCATAATCCAACGCAATAAAAATACCTTCTTCCTTGGCTGCTTATGCTTTTTCCCTTTCGAAGAAAAGATTTGTGTCAAATGCTGAGTTGCAGAGACAGGCAATCAAAGAAATAAAGGCATGGCTGCTTATTTAAAAGGCATTTTCCTACCTGATAAAAAAACTATTTCAGAACAAAGAAGAGATTGCAAGGGGCGGTAGGGTGGGGGATAGAATCAAAGACACAGGTTGTGATCACTGCTTTTAAAATGAATCTTCTAAGAAAATGTAAACAACCTTTACAAAGGGAACTTTTTTAGAAAAATGAGAAAAGAAGGTGAACAGTAAGGAACTCAATTTGTGGGACATTTTGACATGCATAACTGCACACAAGAGACAGGGGAAACATACTGGTTATTACAGCAAAATATTACAGAGTATAAACTATGTCTCTGGAAAGAATCACACACTACCATTAAGTTTTGGCTTTCAGCCAACATATTAAACTTGATGAATGGACTTTTATGAATTCACACAACTGTTTTCAATGATGCTTTATTTACTATATACTGGTGAGAAATTGTGCCCGATACTTACATTCTTCTACTGTCACAAAGTTAGAAAAAGCCACGAGTAATTGCTTACAATGATCAGGATTTTTTTCACTCTTCAGTTTATAGGTACGTGCAAGATTGCTAGACACGGAACCACAGTGTCACTTCACATCTGGCTGTTACTTCTGGTTGGGTTCAGTTTTTTAAGAATTGCATGTCTTTGGTAGACTTAATCCCAATTATTTTTAAGTTTTAAAAGTAATGCAGGCATTTCCCCCTACCTGCGTCTAACAGCTTCCAAAAACACTAGTGTTAGTACTGTGACACTGACTGTCAAAGGCAGCAACACTGCACAGCTCCTGCTATTTTCCTTAACATATGCCTATAGCACAATTCTGACTCAACTATTATTGCTCACTAGCAACCTTCAGCTCTTTTCCCTTCAAAACCAAGCAAACTTCAAAAACAATGTCGTTTTTCATCTCTTTCACTGAAGAAACCTTACAGAATGGAATATTACAAGATTCAACTGGTATTACAATTCAGCCGTATCTAAGAGGTAAAATAAAAGTATATATATATTTTGTTTAAATAGATTGGTTGTGGTTATGAATTCTGCTAATATAGTTGATGTTTTGGGGGTTTTTTAACTCCAAATGCGAGGTCTTATTTCTGTTTAGAGTATTTCTCTGAAAGATTTCTTTTAATTCTAGTAAGTGTCCTGCTCAGGTCTTACACAAAAGCCCCTACATTTACTCTCAGTTCGTGTAATTCACTGCAAGGCTGCTTAAAATTGTGATATCCACTATATATTAATTTATGATGGCAGGGCAGCTACAACAGCAAGGAGATTACATGTTTATTTGACTGAAACATGCACAAATAGCTTTAAGAACTTTCTCAAAGTATCTTGAAGGGAGTTGCTAAAGTTTGTTGAGTAACCATCACATCACAAAACAAAAGACATCAAAGGAATTAAACAATGTTTGCTAAGTGGGTTGATAGAACAGATCAAAAGACTTAGCAGGATTTAAACAATATCTAAGAACTTGAGTTTTTTCACAAGTGGTGGTTTCACCCTAAACTTAACCCCTGTTTATACTTTAAAATAATAGTCAAGGTGTCCTACAACAAGTTGGAACCACAATAGTTCTAGTGCAATAGTGTACCCTATGCAACTCCCAAAGAAAAAGGCACAATAAAATTGCTCAAGTGAGTTGGAGGCAAATAAAAAACTTTGGAAATACTATTTTAAAGTGGCAAGGTAAAATGACGAGAATAATGATTTGTGAAGTTTTCTTATGTATGTGACAACTTCATCTGAGAGGGAAGCAGAGGAGGTGGAGGAGTGCTACGTTATTTAAAGGTGAAATAGGAGCTTCATGTTTCACCCAGAGTCCAAACAAGCTGTAGCAAGCATTTATTAAAAATGCACAATCATCCTGTCAATACGTATTAAGGTCACGGGACTGAAACATGTTCTAAAATGTGGAACTTTTAAAGCTGTATTATTCTTTATTTCAACTGATTCTATTTAAACACTCAACACAATACATGATCAAAATGTATGAACTAATAAAATAAAGAGGCTGCTAAGTATTTACTTTGAAAAGGCAGCACATTTGCCTGAAAATATTTTAGCAGAAGGATTTAAGCCCATCTAGAGGTATATAACACACTGCTTTGCTTTATGGCATGTTCAATAAATCAGTGGAGCCATAAGCAGCAGAGCAGCACACAAGGACGACGCATTGTAATTCACGGGATGCCCACGTGCAGTAAGGATAAATGATTGATATTTGATTGATGCTTATAAACACTTCCTCTGCAGCAAGAGAGGAAGTGCAAGAATATTCTTCTACCTAAAGAATGAGATTTGCAAGTTAACTAAATTTAACTCCTATATATAAATATCCTCCAAAATACTTAGAACAATTTTATATTTGTTTGCATGATTCCAAAATGGTATTTTACTCTAACAGCATGACTATAAAGTTTCCCAAGTTGACAGCTATTTGCATTCGTAAGTGGACATTTACTTCAATTTCCAGGGAAAGCAGTCTCTTAATTTCACAAGTTACATGTTGTTTAAGCAGAAAAAAACAAAGGGGAGAAAAGTGAGACAATGCTTAGCTGCATGCAATTAGATTGGGTCTCAAAAACTGGAGACCCTTTGAGCATGCCTTTTCCCCTGCTCCTTTCAAGTTTTATGCTATGAAATATTTTCTGATAACAGGCCTCATTTCTGTCTCAGCTCCACACCAGTAAGGTTTTAATACTCAGCGTGTGATGAGAGATGAAACCAAGTGTGAACAACTTTTGGGTCCCATGAGTAGGCTGACTGTTGAAGCTGTCAGGTTCAATTGCATCATTCCACATTATTCAATGCCCCAAACTGCTCCCTAATTGTTAGGGGCTTAACATATTCAAAACCATTGTTTAGGCTAATGCTGAAATGCCTACAGTTGAATTTCCATAAAGAAAGGGGAGGGATTTAATTGTAGTTAAACCATTACTGAACTCTCCTCCTTTCATGATAGGACAACAAGGATGGCCAGAACAACCAATTCCAGGACAGCTTCTTAATCAGTTTACATCCAATCAACATCCCTTTTCCCCTCTGCTTTAAAAATAGTCATTGCTATATTGTAGCTTTGTGTTACATCATCATGATGCTTTACAATTAGTGACAGATCACCTAATAACCTACTTCCGCCAGTATCTCTTTGTCAAAAATAATTTCAAAGGTTAATTTTATTTCTTGTTTAAAATAAAAACATATCACTGTTCCTGTGGTTGGGGTCATACCATTTACCAATCACACTAGGCTCTTCATCCCAGCAAGATGCTGTGACAGAAAGCACAAAACTACTCCTTGTTCCCATTAACACAAAGTAAAGAAATACAGAGCACTGGATATCACCAACATCTACGTATGGCCAACTACTACTGAAAGCAGTACAAAATATTCTGATGCAGATGAGGTTTAAAGTTAAATTTTATGCAAACTTTTCTGCTAGGCCTCTGAGAAGATATTGCTAACAGTTTCCATGCAGCTGGAGGGAAATTCAAGCACTAGATCAAGTATTAACATCAGCTTACTTCATCTCTAAGTCATCTTAAGCTGATGTATTTTGGTCTACGGCAAGCAGCATTTACCTGAACAATGCATCCATTAATTAAAACATGCATTGCAATTAAATGAGCTTCGATATGAACACATATTAATGCTAGGCACATAATGATAATAAAAGATTGGTAACGTGCATATATAGAGATTAACTGCTTTTCCTGAGAAGTGAAGAGACCTGCCTATCTAGTGACAGCAGCAAAAGTCACCTGGCCTTACGTTTCCTAGCTTAACTTGGGCAAAGGTATTTTTATCCTGAGAATTTTTAAGGCTGGTTATGCTATGGGGAGCATGTCACAGTTGGCTCTGCTTGGGTATTGAAGGCAATGGGAAGAATATGCTACTGCTTCCTTTTAGTCTTCAGTGCTTCTGGTACCACCTTTAACTTCACTTAGGCGACGAGGGAA